GGGGGGGGGGGGTAATTGTGCGCATGTGTTTAAAGTGCGCATAATTATCTCACACGCATTTATGAAGCATTTATGAACGCATGATAAGAAATAATACGTGGTTCCTTTTCGTTTTCACATAAATAATATTAAAATACATAACTTTATATTCAGATAATAACGTCACTTAACTTCCTGTGACGACAAAGTTTTCGTGTAACAACACAAGTTTATATCCTCACTTTTAATGTGAGTTAACAAGACTCACACGATTTCGAGCTTGAGCAGATTGTAGGTAAAAATTCGATTGAATCTTGTCAGAATGAAAAGAAACGTGCATTTAACTGAGTTACATCACAAATGAGAATTATCTAAGTTTAGGGTAAATGAAAGACAGCTATAGTTTAATTTTTTTAGATGCCTCGTTATTATAAAAGAACATCAGATAAGAATAATTGGACTGAGGAGACCTTAAAATCAGCGATTTATGCTGTGAAAGTCAATGGGATGAAAATCAGGGCTGCTGGGCGAAAATTCAATATTTCGGTATCAACTCTTAGAAAGCGATTGAAAGAAAGTTCAACAAGTTATGTACCATTGGGTCGAAAACCAATATTTATGGTTGATGAAGAGAAAGAATTGATAAATCATATCTTGAACCTAGCAAAACTATTTTATGGACTTACTCCACATCAGCTTCGTAGAATTGCTTTCGACTTTGCTGAGGCAAAACATGTTAACCTAATACATTTATAATAACAAAACGATTCAACTAGCTGGCAAAGATTGGCTATATCTGTTTCTTTAGCATAACTCGGAAATAACCCTAAGACAACTAAAAGGGACGAGTCTTAACAGAATTAATACATTTAATAAAGAAGAAGTTACTCAATTTTTTTCCAATTTACAAGAAGTCATGGAAAAGTATAGATTTCCTCCAAATAGTATCTTTAACATGGATAAGACGAGCAATACAATGGTTAAAAAAGTCCAAAAATATATGGCGCAAAAGGGACAGAGAGAATTGAAACAGCAACATTAGGTGAAAGGGGCGAACCATTACAGCAGTGTTTTGCGTGAATGCATCTGCAACATACATACCTCCAATGATAATTTATCCGAGAGCACAAATGAGTACGCAGCTACAAAAGAATGGGCCTGTTGGAGCGATTTATGCCTGTTCTAAAAATGAATGGATAAATAAGGGATTGTACTTGGACTGGTTACATCATTTTAAGAACTGTGTTAAACCAACTTGCGAAGACCCTGTACTTCTGATAATTGATAATCATACAAGCCACATTTCGCTTGAGGTTTTTGATTTATGTAAATCTAGTTTTATTACTGTACTTTCTCTCCCCCTTCACACACATCTCATCGAATTCAATCTTTAGTCTTGATATTTTTTGGCCTGTTGAAGAACGCTTTATATAGAGAATATGATTTATATTTAAAATCGACTGGTCATAAAAAAATAACCAAGTATGATCTTGCAGAGTTGTTAAATAAGGTTTTAAAAGTAGCTTCTATCTGAGAAAGGCATATCTGGCTTTCGTACAGCACGTATTTACCCTCTAAACCCTGATAGGTTTGACGAAAATGATTTTGCTCCATCAGTTGTTCAAGAAGGACCTTTTACTGAAGTCGTCTTCGAATAATCAAAATTCAAATTCCATTGAAACTATCAATAATATAGATAATTTGCCTAGTTCTTACAACAATGAGTCAGAGGAAAATCCAATATCAAAATCTAGTACTTCAAAGACTCCTGATCAGGTTAAAATTACTGATATTTCACTAATTTTTTTGAGAAAACCTCATGTGGCAACGTGATTCTCATTCAGAAATTTTAACTACCCCAAAAACAAAAATTACAAGACAAATTGAAAAAACAGAAAAAGGCCCAAGAAAAGAAGAAGCAGAATATCGTAAAAGCAGTTACAATGAAAACTGAAAAATGTAAAATGTAAACAGAAAAACAACATTTTTGTAATCGTCATATTTTTAAGAAATTTTGTCATTTTAATTATTTTAAAACTTGATTTTATTTTAATCATCTTTGTTTATGTTATTAAGAATCCATTAATATAAATATTTATGCAATAAATACAAGAGTAAAGAATCGGGGGTGTGTAATATAAAAAATGTTAAGCGATTATTCTTTGTTTTTTTTACTTTCGTTTATATAAAATCTTTTAATGTTTGTAAAACATTAAAAAGTACTCATTAACCTTTTTGTCAATATTAAATAAAATAAAATGTTTATGTCTAGAAAAAATGTTGATATCTAATAATTTTTGTTTAGCGCATTATTGCCCGATTTATGCGCACAATTATCCAGCGAGGTGAGGAATTGTGCGTATTTGCCTCATGTCACTTTATAAATTAATCTGTAATCTACTATATTAATAAGTTAAGGTTATGAAAGTAGACTAATGAGGCTCCTTTTCTCTAAAATTCCGATTTCCCAACTGCATTCCATTCGTTGTAATATTAATTCTTGCTAAGATGTGCACAATTCCTCCACTTTCTCCTATCAGATCTTTTTGGATAGCCAGAGCTGTTGGAAGCGAATTTTGCAAAATATCTATTGTAAATTTTCTCAGCAGCCTGAATGGCGGAATGACGTCAAAAGAGATGATGACGTTTAGTAGGTCAAAATAGACGTCACTGTTTGAACGTCATTAAGTATTGATCAGATTTAATGCTTCCTCTATAGTTATTATTGACGCAAGAAGTGTCATGTAAGCGTTAGTGAATTAAATTAAATTTTAAAACACCTGTTGTTTTAAAATCGGATTAAACTAGTGTTTATATGACATCGTTTATTTGATTAGCGTTTGTATATTTTATATCGGTTAATACTTGTATGGATATTACAAAACTTGATTAATAGTGACATCTAAACGTAATCACGTCATAATGACGTCTAGTAGGCTAAAATAGACGTCATTACATTGTATTTTGATGTTGCTCTATTTGGGAGAATGTTAGCAAAAATATGACAAAAGATGCTTCATTTAGTAACACAAATCAACACAAACATTATTTTATTTTTCTTAATATTTAGAGAGTAATAAAAATAGAAAGATATTTGTATTGATTTGTGTGCGGGGAAATGGAAAGCATCCAATGTTGACTTTCACCGCAGAAATGGAAAAAGTCTTATACATTTATATTCAAATACATCCAAATGTAATTTTAAAATTTCTTATCGAAGTATCACTTCTAGAAAATTAAATAGTAATGAAATGCAAAAATTTAATATCCGAAATGATATAAAACTATACAGTCGAATACAGCATTTTTGCTGTGCATAACCGTGTCGATTTGTGTTATAGTTGGAAAATACAGAATCATACACTACGTTTCACAATGTCGTCTGTATATGTTACTGGAAAACATTCAAAATCTGTCAATAATATTATGGTAAATTAATTGCGGAATTCAAGCAGAATTTGCTATCTCTTAATATTATTTGAATTATATATTTCATTAACCACTGCATGTTCTAAAAACTAAGTTCAATATTAAGTTTAATATTAATCAATTTCTAAAATACAGGAAATATAATAGGAAATGATGATTGTAATGAAACGATGCATAAGATATCTATTTCCGTAAATAAAAAACTATCAGTTACCTGGATCTATAACGATTTTGTACTAATTTTTGTACAATTCATCATTTAGGAATATCAAAGTACAAATATGAGATTAAGAAATTTAGTTGAAAGATCTGTTTGAAATATTTTATTAAATATTATATTTTCGTTAATTAATTTTAAGTTATTAATTTTTTAATTATTTTTATGTATATAATACTAAAAAGGAAAAAATGCAAATATGTTGATACAATTGATTTTAAGTAATCAGTGCATTTAATTAGAATTTTTCATTTTCTT